ATAAAAATTTTAAATTATTAAATATTTATAAGAGTAATAAATTATTAAATTATTTTTATGTTAAATAATAGTTTTGTTAGTAAATAGTAATAATTAATAATTTTATCTTATAAAAGAATAAATCATTTTGAAAACTTTTAAATAAAAAATTAAAAGTAAACAAAGTTGAAAAAAATAAAACAAATGAAGGTTAAAAATGGAATAAATGCTCCGACTGAAGTTGAGAAATTTTCACTAGACCAATGAGGTGTCGGTGAGCAATTAAAACTATATCAAGGTAAGACACCGCACTGGTGTCATCCAAACACGAGAATTGAGCGATATACATCTTTAACCGCACCTCACCATAGCTCTATTTAAATCCAAATCAAGCCTAAGCTGATGAGGAGAGTCCGAAGGAGAGCCAAATCCTCATTAAGCAAATTAAATTACTACTTGCATTGAAAGGAGGCATCAAATGAGCTCAAGGCATGCCAAATTAACCACTGAAAATACTAAAGTTAGTCCCTGTGCCTGCAATCCCTTTCTTATCCCTATACTTTGGCTTCTTTGTAAAAAATTATATATATATTCTAAAGTTTAGAATAGCATTAACATATATAGTTAGTATCACAGTGATTCTTGCCTGCTCTATTTACAAAGATATGGCAATGAGAAATATTGTTACTGCAAAGATAATACAATCATAACTAACTACTAGAGCGTGATGTTTTCATCATGTATTTGTAGCATAACAGGTTTATAGTGCTAACTCGGCCAGACATTGTAGTCTGAATCAGGGTCCGAACAGTCACAGTGGCATGTTTTGTCGATGAATGGATAGTTCAACAGCAAATTGGTATAAAAATACAAGGATATAAGCACAAAGATCTCTGTGACTTTTATGTAAAAAGAGTTCTCATGGAATATCGTACACCAGTTGGATGTCTGACTGCTCAATATGATTCGGAACAGGCAGGAATGATCTTATTTAGTTGATATGAAATAATAGCCTAGTTATTATAGTAGAATAAAAGTACAAAGATTGTAGAACTTGAGATCTGTCCACATTAAATAAGAAAATACCCCACTACAACGTATGCCAAGAGTTATATAAGAATGTACTTGAAGGCTCGGCTATCATCAGATGCCAAAGTTCCAGAAGCACCTAACCCGATTTTGAAATTGAAGGTAATGCAAGTTAACTGTGGAATTCCCTCACCTGATAAGGTCACCTTAAGTGTGTAGGAATCCTGCAAAAGCCACGCATAAAAAATCAGCTAATTGCCCTCATGTCAACTGTCATATAATTGGTTAGTGAACTTACTGGTAGAGTAAATCCAAGTAAAAGTACTTGATTGTGAGAGAGTACAAAGTTTCCAACTGCAATAGGGCAGGATGTTTCCTCACAAAATTGATGAGTTTCTTGATGGATATGTACCCCAAAGTAGGAAACATCAATCACCACTTTGCCTCCAGAGATTGCTTGACTTGCAAAACATACACGCTCATAATAAAATGCTAAAAAGGCTATCTCTGTGAACCTTGGACATAAAAACGAAAAGCAATCCTCAGATACATATAGCAATGTGTACCACATAAATAAAGGCATCTGGTGACATGGACCAAGAAATTTCTTTTTAAGCTATTAAAACCAAAATAAGTATTTTTCTTTAAAAGCCAAAGACTTTGAAGAAGTGGTTTTGCCATCACAACACAGCACCATTCCAGCAATTTGGAATTAAATTTATAAGCAAGTCAAAATCGATCAAGACTTGAAATGTATTTATCTAAGAACTTGGATACTGATGTAGGGTATTGTAAATCAGAAGCAACACTAGGAATAATTGGCTTTCATGATAGAAAAATTAACATTGATGGATTATAACGGGATGATGGTATCAAAACCATTCATAATATAGGTTTAGGGGTTTTAGGGTTTAGTTTGACTGTGAATTAAATAACGGTTTGTATGGAGGATTGAAGGTTGATTATTAAATGAAAGAAAACTGTAAATAAGGAACATGAAGGAAGGACTTAATTCAAACAAAGATTTCTTTAGGCTTCAAGCTTAATGACCCAAGACTTCACACCTAAGTTTAGGATAGTTCCACACCATTCTAAAGCAGACATCATATGTGCTAAAATTCTAGTCAACTTTTTTTATTATTATTAATGGAAAGAAGTTAGATGCTTATTTATAGAGTTTTACCAAGGAGGTTCCCACAGACTTAAGATCCAAACCAGCAAACTACCAATATCTCTTTTGTTAAAAAACTGCAATTCCAGAACAGACAATCCCAACACTCAAAAATTACCTCTAGAAATCTCTAATGCTTGGCCTAATACATCAAAAACTAGATAATTAACCCTTCCAGCCAGTTATTCATGTTACTGTACATATTGTTCTGCCATCAAATTTTATCCTACTTTTAATCTTACCACAACAAACCTAGGAAAAATTTTTCTTATCTTAATCTATGATCCTGTACACTAAAAAATTCCTAAAATATCAAACTCAGGGCAAGAATTATCCGAAAATTGCAAGAACGTAACGTTACCAGTAGAAGCAGAGATCGTGATGGTGGCTGGCTTGCCTCTAACCACGTATTAGGTGATATATCGACTCCATCGACTTTTACAACATAATTACCTTCATTGCCTGCATTGATTTCAATCCAGGAACTCAGGCATATACTTGAACAAAAACTAAGCAATTGAAAACAGAAAAAAGTGGACAAAGAATAGCTAATGTTGTGTTACTAAATTTTTTTCTTGATTCGTTACTCCGACCTTAAAATAAGCATACTTACAAAGCTAGTAGGCTTTTTTTTTTTTTATGAATGAGTTCATTTGGATTTTTTAAAAAAAATCACAAGAATTTCAATTTTATTTATTTTTTTATGAGACAGTAAACGAAAAAAACATGATAATAGTTAGATTTTGAGAAGCAAATATTAAAGCAAGTCTCATCTTAAGAACAAAAATCCATGTCTTTGTTTTTTGGATACATAATGAACCCTAGTCAATATAGCATTCGGGTATTACAGCTGGGCAAAGAAAAGTCCGCTGAGAAAACGATTTGTAAATGGCGCCAAAATACAAACTTCGGATAGGAATTAGATTTGTACCAGTAAAAGGATTAGTAAATTTCCAAATTTAGACATCTCTGACACGGATTTGTATATGAGTGTCATGTAATAAATTTTTGTGAAGGGGGCAAATTTTATTATACAATGAAAAACTATATATATAATGGCTTTTGGCAACTTAATGGGTACCTGAACTGGTTAGACTCAGAGCATCCGTAACATGTTGATCGTTTCTCCTCTTCCGCTCCCATTGGCCCATGGCTTCCGCTTTCGTCCCACCAAAAAAGAGATTTTGTGCTTTTACCTTCCACAAGCCATTAGTGGAGAGCCTTTGATTTTGCCTTCAAATACTTTGATTGAGCGTGAGATTTATGGTGATAATAAGGAGCCATGGAACATTTTTGACAAAGATGAAAATATTTCTTTTTGGGTTTTCACCAAGTTGAAGAAGAAAAGTAAATCAAGAATTGATAGGACTGCTGGCTCTGGAACTTGGCTTGCTCGAAGCACCAAAGAAGTTAAGGATGAACGTGGTCAGCATTTAGGGTTTGAAAAATATTTCACTTTTATATGCAAGAAAGATCAATCAAGCCGAGGCATCATTGGTAATTGGATTATGCATGAGTTTTCCTTAAGCGACCAGGGTTTGAGCGATTATGTTATTTGCGAAATCAAAAATAAAGATGCTGTGGCTGTGGCTGTGGCTGTGGCTGTTGGTTCAGATCATGGTCAAGATAACTCCACAGCAGAAGCAGAAGCCGTCAACCAGAATCGGAAAGCTTTAGAGCTGGTTAATGATGAAGAGATGTCGGTTCCAACTTTGAAGAAAATTTGTGTTGATGATCAGAGTAACCTAAACCAAGGCAATGCTGAATGGATTGGAAGTACTCTAACATATAATCAATTGATTTTCGGGGAAGTTAATGATCAAGAAAATCAGGATCCAAACAAACTGCCCATGATCAGTTCCAAATCTCCAGAGGCATGTGAATGGAATGACATGGATTTGGCTTTGTTAATGAATCAGCTTAACTGAATTGAGTTTGACGAGGAACCTGCATGGAATTGAACAGAAGATAATTCTATTTATGCTATACTTTAACTTCAATCTTAATGTGTAGTATTTGTTTTCTGATACTTAGTAGAAATCTGAAATGTCAGAAATCATTAGGTTTATGATTTATGATTCTATTTGGCTTCGTTAATGAATGAGCTTAACCGAATTGGGTTGACGAGGGAAATGACATAAAATTAGAAATCCGAAATTTCCTTCGAAATTCATTATATGTGTTTATGGTTTATGTTTGATGTATTTGGATATTTTGTGAAAGCCTCAGCTATGCTGGGAGGGTTGTATTGTTGTATTGTAAATGCTGGTTGATATGTTTTTCTTAAAAAAAAGTTTAGGTTTATTTATGGTGTAATTAGAGACTACTTAAATTGTGTTATGCAGATGGCACAGTCTTGTTTTAACTCTCTTTAATATCACCATTCATGCAACAAGATCAAATGCAAACAGATTGGTCAGTGCGTCAGTTGGATTATTGTGATGAATATTTAAGAGTTTGAGACATGCTTTCCCCAATGAGTGAATCATCAGCTGATCTTTAGAATTGTGGACATTTTCAATTCTGAATGTGCTGTGGTTGCAAACAGGAAGCAAATTATAAATGTACAACAAACGTAAGGGATGCCATAAGAAACCAAAAACCATTTATGGAGGCATGCAATAGTTACATTCTTATTCTGATAATTCAACTGTTCTAATTAAGCTACCAGTTTGCATATAAAATGCTTACAGAACAGGAAAGCTAATCTCTCTGAAATAAAACAATTCTCCAAAATCCTGTAAGAAGGCAACTGGAACATAGAGACCATGGGTCCGATACAACTCTACAAGTACTCAATATGCTACTAGAAAGTCCAAACTCAACTATTGGACGCAAAAGAAGCATTTCCAATAATGAATTTTATACGAATGCATGTCAATTCCAAATTGTTTTCGTCATGTAATGTCATCTGAAGAGTGTAAGAACCCTGCAAGTATGCAGCACTGTCATGCTTTTTTCATCCCTTAAGCAGATACTTATAGTACTAGTAAATCCAGGAATTATCACAGAAAATCATTAATATTCCGGAAGACAGGTAAAGTTTGGGAGTGTGAGAGCACAAAGTTGCCTGCAGCGACAGGGCAGGATACTTCCTCACAGAGATCACGAGTTTCTGTATGGACATGCAATCCCAGAAAAGAGACATCGATCACCGCTTTACCATCAGAGATTGGCTGACCTAAATGAAGTTATATGCCAAGTGCCAACTTTATTAATATGCTAAAGAATAAAGGCAATCATACACAATTAAATGTAGCTCCTAGAGCCAACAACATGCTCAAGCTACAGAAGTTAAGCACCTGAAGGACAAAACAGATAGAGAATGTGAACATAGGTGGTTAAGACAAAAAATAAAGTCTAAAGACTAAACCTTTGCTTCCTAAAAATAAACTGACTGTTAGAGAAAGAAAAAGCCTTTTTTTCCAACCTTTTGTACTTAGTGAACAGGATTGTAAAACCTGAATCAACTATCAATCACAAAATGTATTTGACTGCAGCCCTGCCGGACAGATGGCTGAAGTGGTAGGTATCCTTCTCTATATCATGTCAAAAAAAGGATATAATAACTTTAAAAACAGAACTCAAATTTTCTACTGTAATACCAATAAGAGAATGTATGATCAAGCTTTTCATTAGAGTTCTTATAGATAGAACATCATATAAAGTTAAGAATAGAAATAAAGGTCCATTGCAGATTAAAACATACCAAACAAAAGAGACGACAGGTCCCAATTTGGCAACAGAACCAGAAATGCCTTGGTTTTCCATCCACATTTTCTAATAAGTCAAAAGGGGTTCTATTTGCATCCCAAGAACTACTCAATATAACCCAAAAATTTTATTGCAAATTTAATTTTTAATAAAATTATTTAAATATCCATTAGTCAATTATTTTTTTGTCCTTCAAACCCCCTTCTTCTTCTCCTCTTCTCTTTTTCTCCTTTCCAGACTAATAGTAACTTTCTTCTCTTCTTCTTCCCATAAACAAGTCATATTGTTGTTAAAATTCATAATCAAAATTTGTAACATCTTATATACTGCCAAAATAGAAAGTGAAATTGAGAGAAACAACTGCAGCAATGAAGATTTGAAAATGACAATCAAGTAAGTTGATTTTCGAAAATAGATGTCCGGAAGCCTTTAAGAGCTTCCGGAAAGCCTTTAAGAGCTTCTGTAAATGTGGGAAGCTCTTAAAGGCTTTCCGGAAGCTCTTAAAGGCTTCCCGGAAGCTCTTAAAGGCTTCCCGGAAGCTCTTAAAGGCTTCCGGACATCTATTTTCGAAAATCAACTTACTTGATTGTCATTTTCAAATCTTCATTGCTGCAGTTGTTTAGGCTTCCAGACATCCATTTTCGAAAACCTTTATGAGTTTTCAGAAATTCATTTTTGAAAATCTTTATTTCCAAAAGCTCTTAAATATTTTCAGACATTTATTTTCAGAAACCTTTAAGAGTTTCTACTTCCGGACCGGAAGTTCTAATCACACGAGGTGTTTAGGTGTTTTAGTAAATTTTAATTTTGAGTGTGGGACGTGATGAGTAAAAAATATGACATTAAAAGTAGTGGGATGTGTTAAATAAATGTTGGGGTGCAAATAGCAACCATCTAAGTCAAATACTAAAAACCCAAATCAGTGCATGAAAAAGAGTATTTTCATTCGATCAATAAAGGAAGCAGAGATTATTTGTAGAAGCCGAGATGATGATGGTAGCTGGCCTGCCTACCAACATTGGATCAGGGGATACCTCAAAACTGAGGACATTAACAATGTAGTGCCTTGAGTCGTCTGCATTAATATTTCAATAAGGAAATCCGAAAGGGGAAACAAAAATACAGTTCCAAAATTATAATGCTAATGAAAACACTGTAAAAAGAGACTTACTACAGTATGTTACATTTTCAGCCTGATTACAAGCTGAAAGCAAAAAGACAGTGAAAAAAAGCACAAGGATGATATTGAACTGAGCCAATATCTCCATGGATTGCCTAGCCTAGCCTAGGCTTCTATTGCAGGCAGAGAAAATGAAAGTAAGATTGTAAAAGAAGATCTGTTTTAAGATGAAAAAATCAAGGTTTTCAAGTTTCAAGAAAGTGATGGCTGTGTCATTGTTTGAGACACTGGTATAGCATGTGTCACTTTACTATAGTTCATTCAGTTGTTACCATGTTGTCTTTCTGTGATGAATTCACAAGAAATTTGACATTAGAAAAAAAAAATCCACAGAAACGAATGAACGAATCAAATAGACTGTCATTATCTTAATCAGCCAAAGAAAAAGAAACTTCCACAGTTAATAAGTCCAAACTATGCCATGTGTGCCATGCCTGGTCCCCCGAGAGTGAACTAGTACAAAGTTGCCATAACTCATAATGTTGCTCCTTTTTCCTGTTTTCTTTTTCTTCTTTTCTTCTTTTCTCCTTTTTCTTTGTTTGCTAATTACCAGTGACTTGTTGGAATTTACATTTCTCATGGGACAAGTTCGTGACACCAAGCTTTAATTTGAAAGAGCATCCAATGGATTCCGATCTGAAAAAGATATTGTTAAACTTATTGGGCTTTTTCTTTTTTCTAAAAAAATTTAGTTGGAAAATTCTTTACTGTATTAATGGACTGATTAAATTCTAGAATTGAATAACCATAAGATTCAAGCTACAATATTTGTGGTTAGGATAAAGGCAAGCAATGCCACTAGTAATCATGTGCTGCTGAAGCTGACCTATGCTACTAGCAAACCAAAGCCGTTTTAAAATGCCGAAAAACAAAGAAATAGAAATTAGTAAGACTGTTTCTGCTGCAGCATCAGGGTCATACATGTTAACTGAAGGAAAAAAAAAAAAAAGTGGTGTTTCAGAAAGTAGCAGAGAGTTGTTTTGGAATGGATCATATGAACCGGAAACTCAGGTTTCGTCTTCTTGCATGGCTTCACCGATCTCGTCCCGGTACTCTCGTTTCTTTAACTGTTAACTGAAAAACAAAAACTGTGGGACTGCAATTCTTTGTCTTTGTCTATTAAGACTGTTATCTTCTTTAGATTAACTTTGTTAAATGTTTTGTTTTTTTTTCCCAAAAAAAGTTGTAGCTTTTGAGGTTGGATTATAGTAATGGTAATTGGGATTTTTTGTAATTGATCATGAATCATGATCCTAGAGAAGAATAAAATGTCTTAAATTTGATGGAAATTGGCGGATTCTAGCTTGAACTTGCTGATTTGAAGATCTGTTATTTGTAGTGAATAAGTTCATGTAGAGAGTTTTTTTTTTGGGTTTGGTGGTTTGAAAGACTGAAGTCAGTGATGAGCTTGATTTAGGATTTAGGAAAAGGTGAAGTCTTGCAGAATTTGACTGTCAACTTTGAAGATTCTTGGTTAATCTATATTGTTGACCAGTGGCAGAGACTCAGAGCCCTAAGTTTAGAATAAAAATGGTTTACATTTGTTGTTAAAAAATTGGTTCATTTTCTTTTCTGTCTTGTTTATTGATACGGTTAAACATTGTCTAATTTCCATTCTCGTTTGGATGGTTATGGAACTAGAAGCCACGATATGATGAAACACTAATTTACTATTCAAGAAATGGCCAATGGGTATCCAACTAGGCTAAGAGAAAGCCGGGAAAGAGTTAAGAGAAGCTGTTTCCAATTTAAAGAACATTATAGAAAAGGGGTAAAAAAGATGCAGCATGAATTGGGCTATTGGCGTTGTGTTAAGTGTTAACCAAATGATGTTATTATGGTTTTCTAGCTGCAGTTAACAAAGTATCTTTCATATCTAAGAATGTATAAGACAGCTAGAAACAATACATGAGAATAGCAATCTTTGCCAAGAAAACATTAAAAAAAAAAGGCTGTAGAGTATCCCACATCTTCTGTTAATGTCTGGAAAACAAGAACAGCATCACTTAGCCACCACCCAGGCAAGACATGTGTAGCAACAAACCATACACTCCCAGTTCTACGTAACTACTAGGGAGATCAGCTTCCATAATCCTAAATTTATGAATACTACTCAAATCAGCTTCCAAGTTTTTTTCTTCATCACTGCTGGGCACATTGCACCCTCTGGGCACTACCATGCGTCTCCTCATCTTCATCATAAGCTTCCTGTGCTGCCTGCTGCTTCCTCCTCATCTCCTCTTCAATGTTCACATCATATAACGTGGTCTCCTCACACTCATCTAGCTCCATATCAGTCAACTGAGAGGTTGGTTTTGGTGGCAGAATAGCCTCAAGTGCCTTAACCTGATCAGGGCTCAGAGATTCAGGGAATTCAACAGTGAAGTGAATGTACAATTTGCCTTTAATGAATGGCCTCTGGTACAGGGGCATCCCCTCATCATTGATTGCCTTGAAGGAATCTGGAATAAGAAGTTATACAAGTTAATAGCAAAGCAATCGATAGAAGAGAGCCTTAAGAGACGAGTGCAAACATTCCCTAGTACTTACCAGGCTTCACAACCTCCCCATGGTTTGACTTGATTAGAAGTTGTCGGCCATCTAGATGGGTAAGTCCAAATTGGAAGCCACACAAAGCCTCAGTCAGAGACAATGTGTGTTCCACAAACAGGTCTTCTCCCTTTCGCTTGAATTTTGGATGTTCCTTCTGCTGAAGGACAAAGACTGTGTCCCCAGTAATGGTATCAGGCTGCAAAAGACACCAAAAACTAACCAATTAGGCTCCATGATATTGTAAAACCGAGTGCATACGTTAGACTGCATTACTATTAAATTATGAAACATACTGCTTCATCGGCTTCGCCTGGAAATGTAATCTTCTGTCCATTCTGCATACCCTTCTCTACAATGACGTCCAGCACTTTCTTCTCCTGAACAACCTTCTCCCCTTTGCACTGAGGGCAGCGGTCCTTGTCATTGATTGTCTCGCCGGTACCCTTACACTCATTGCAAGGATGTTGCATTTGTTGAATCATGGAAGGACCAAGTTGCCTGATTGAGACCTTCATACCAGAACCCTGGCAACCAGGGCACTGCATTGAAGCTCCTGATTTCGAGCCTTTGCTGTCATAAACAACACATGACATTAATCAAATGCCACCAAAAGTTCAAACACAGGGAAACGATGAAAATATTAACTCACCCATTGCACTTCGAGCATATCACATCGCGGGAAAGAGAAAGCTTCTTTGAGGTCCCAAGGTAAAGGTCCTCTAGAGACACCTTCAGAGGATGAACGGCATCCTCTCCCCGTCTCTGTCTTCTTCCGCGACTGCTACCACCTTGTCATCAGCAACAACACCATAAATCAATCATCCTAACTTTCCTAAAATTAGTCCAACAACATCAAAGAAAATAACAAAAATTCCCAAATTCATCAATCTACAAGACCATTTATAGTAAAACACTGTCTTCAGGTTTCACTCAATCATCAAAATAACTGAAATAACATGTCGAATTTAGAATAAAAGCGATGATGCTCCTAAAAATCAATTCAACAACACTAAACAAAATAACAAGCTTTCAAATTCCTTAACATATTCTTCAATCAGGATCCTCTAGATCAAATCAAGCTTACGTCTTTAAAAATCATGATAACTATGTCAGAATTAGAATGAAAATAACACTTAAAATAACTATCTGTTTAAGTAATTCACTTACCTCCAAACGGGCTACCACCAAAGAAGGATGAAAAGATATCGAACGGATCATGAGAGCCAGCACCACCAGCCATTCCTTCCTTGAGAGCATCTTCACCATACTGATCATATATCTCACGTTTCTCAGGTTCACTCAATACCTCATAAGCTTGAGCTAACTCTTTAAACTGCCAACCAACAGGACCAAAAAAAAAAAACCATAAGACAAAATTAGCAATAAAATCTTTACACCCACCATTAATGAAAAGATACCCATATAAAATCTTCAAGAAAAAAGAAAGAATTAGAGTAAATATTATACCTTTTCAGGATCACCGCCTTTGTCAGGATGGTTTTTCATGGCGGCTTTTTTATAAGCTTTCTTCAAATCATCCTGGGATACGTTCTTCGAAACACCCAGAATCTCATAGTACCTCGTGTTATTACTCTTCTTCGCTGATCTTCCAAACATCTCTGATCTTTCTCAGTTCAATCAATCACACTGCTTTTTTTTGTTCTTCATTCTTTTTTTATGGGGTTTTGCTATTGTTTGTTTTGGACACCGCTGAAGAATAAAAGAATGGCGTGGGGGAGAGGACTTATAGGAGAGATTGTTAAACGGACGGTTGAGATTTGGAATTCCAATTTGTCTACCCTCTTTTTTCCCTTTACGCGACGAAGGAGAAATGAAAGAGAGAGAAAATACGAAGTTCTTGGAATTCTAGATGCTTCTTTGGCTTCAACTGCTGGGCGATTCCCGCGTAAAACCACCCCATATCCTGCGTAGCTCACTTTATTGTTCACCTTTTTCAATTTTTGTGTTTTTTTATTTTTATTTTTTGTATTTAATTTTTAGAATTTAAAATTTTTTAATTTTATATGTTGAATTATAATATTATTACATATTTATTATTTAATTATATGTACTTTAATTTATTAATTTTAATGAATATAGTTTGATATTATAACATATAGTCTTATAATTTGTTTGTAAAATTTAAAAACAAAAAATTAATATATAAAATTATTTTTTAATTAATTGCATATAAGGTTGTTAAATACATAAACATAAATGTATAATTATTGATATAATGTTGAATTTTTAATTTAAATAATTAAATTTTAATTTTTATTAATTTCAAATATAAAAAATATAAAGATAAAATTAAATAAATATCATTATAGAGTTTGGGTACAATGCAAAGAAAAATAAAAGGAATTTATGTGCAAGCACCAATACTTTGCTTTCCTTTAAATTGTTCATGCTTATACATTGACTTCATATTGATTAATATTAATGAATTCATTTTATGATACACTAGCCAATAATTATCATTTTATTGTAAATTAAAAATTTTGAGATTTATACTAGTCTATATTGAATAGTGTTATTATACTTTAATTTTATTAATTTTTTATAATTTTAAAATAACTTTAAAATATAATAATAAAATTTCATCAAATTAAAAAAAATGATAAATTTGATCAATTATACTAATTGATTTTATCTCAAAATCAAAAAAAAAAAAAATCAAATCTAGTTGTTGCATTTCCAAAATAAAAAGTAAACTAACCCCTAACTTTAAAAGCTATATGTTAAAATATGGAAAGGTTGTAACTAAATTAGTTATTAAATGTGAATAAAGCTTTAGCTCAATGATAAAAAAAAAAAGTTTTAAAATTATTTTAAGTTTAAAATTTATCATGTAAGATTTGATCGAATTTTATATTGGATTTATTTAGGTATTATATTATTTTGTTCATTAATATATTTGTCTAGTTTAATTAAGTAATTTTTTTATATGTATATATTAATTCATTATGATTATAATTTATTTTTATACTTGCATGTTCATAAAAAAATCAATAAATAATATACTTTTTTAAAATATATTTTAGGTGAAAGGATCTTTTCTACTATGGAAAGTTTCCCCTACTTTATTTAAAATGAATAATGTATAAAATAAAATTTTATGATCAATATTTGTTTTAATATTTTAATATTTTTAATTAATTTTTTATTTAAAAACTTAAATTTAAATTCATTAAATATCAATCATAAATCTAACTGAAATTACAATATTTATCATTTCCAATGCTTTTTAAGCAATGGAATCTTACACATTGTCAATAAACTTTTTCAATTTTATAAGGAAAATTAAAAAATATCACATATATCATTAATATATTTAAAAAATAATATAACTATTAAATGGACATATGTCCATATTTTCACTTCACTTTCAGAATTTACAAAATATCATTGATGTATCAAATAATGATTTTTTTAAAAAATATGTAACAATAATGATCTTCAATATTAAGAATCATGATAACTTTCAATGTAATTATTCGTATTTTTTCTCACACTAACATTCATGATTATTTGCGTCATACATGAATCTTTGCAATATTAACCTTTTAATTTTTAAATAAAATTTTAAATTTAAAAGTGATAATAATATTAGAAGTAAGAAATAAATATAAGGTAAAATACATATAGCCAATTAAAATTCAATTTTGATAGGTACATATCTATTTCATGGTGGTTAGTAAATAATTTACTACTATTACAACTAAGAAAAATAAGTGGATTAAAAGTTTTTTTTTTTACCTAATTAAAATCCAAATTTTGTATAAATAAAGGTAGAAAAGAAATTGCCCCCTTTTTTTTTTTTTACCAAAACACCCATAAATTTAATATAAAATATCTATACTATTTATAAAAGCTCTATACTTTAAGAGTTATTTATGTTAATACAAAAATTATAATTCAATTTGGAGTCATGAGAAAAGTAATATCAATTTAATTAAAATTTACTAAAAAATTAAAAGATAAAATATAAAATATGTATTTTTAAAGGGTATTTAATTATTTTACTTTTTTTTAAATGATTTTGCTAACCGGTGCTTTAAGAGTACTTTTTAAACTTGGAATATTAAGTAAATATATTTTTTTGATGTATTAAAATTTTCACATTTGCCAACAATTATGCGTTTTGTTAATGGAGTATTGATTTTTTAATTTAATAATTATAATTCAAGCATAAAATATAAAATAATTATAACATTAATTATTAATACTATATTTAATACAAAAATATTATTATAAATAATATCTTAACTAACTTTAAAAAGTACTTTAGCTACTGCAAAACCTTTTTTTTTTTAAAGGAAGAATTGAATTTAAATGTTTTTAAATGTATTAATTTTCTTATTTTTTTAATCTTTAAATATTATATATGTATTTTTTTTTTTTTGTCATTGGTATTTAGATAACTGTAATTTTTTTTCTTTACTAATTTTTATTTATTATTCCATTCACTTAATGAGTGTACATAGAACTACTAAATCATCTTACCAAAATAAAACTTGTAAATCATAGGTTTACTTATTAACTTATTATTATTATTATTATTATTATTATTTATATTTTAGAACAAAATATAAATTTAATTCCCAAAAAAACATAAATAAATGAAGAAAAAAAAAAAGAAAGTAGATGCTAAAATAGTAACCGATCCGGTGAAAGGGGAGACACGTCCCGTGATTACCTCTCTTCGTTCGCACGCTTGAAAACGACTTGACTAAAGCACTAGACGACACCGTTCCTTCACAGTTTAACCCAATCCCAATCACTAGTCCCTCCCTGCCCGGCGTGCCGATTCCGGTCCTCACAAATTCTGGAGAGAGAGAAAATTATATATTAAAAAATTCTTGAGAGGGAAAGTGGAAGAGGTCTTAAATATAGTGCAGAAGACTCTGAGAATACATTTCTTCTTATTCCGATTCCTTTTTGAAAGTAATTTTTTTTTTAGTTTGACTGATGTTTGACTTCGTTGACTGATTGATTGATAAATCATCATCAATCCAACGGCTGAAAAAGGTACTGCTACTTCTTTTTCAACTTTTTCTTTTTCTTTTTCTAATCTAACGTTGATTCAACTGAGCTCTTGCTCTCTCTTTCTCTTCACTTCTTTTAGATGTTAAATTTTCGGTTTTATTTTTAAATAATAATGGAAAATTTTTGGTAGTTTTCAAGTTCGGCTGTGAAATTTGCAAGATCTGTACTGAATGAGGCTTAACTGGGCTGTCATTATGGCAATTTTATAATCAGCGGACTTTAATGTGGACAGTTTATTAAATTGGGAGGAATTATTGGTTAATCACTTAATCGATAAATGAACAACGGAAATTAATTCCAGCTTTTTCTTTTCTTTAAAGGTTGTTTTTATTTTTTTACTTGGAAAATGTGAATTCTGTTTTTTTTTTTTTTTGTTGCTATCTTATCGATGAGATGATGATTTATGTTATCTACAGAAAGCGTGAGAAATCGAAAGGTTGATGGGGAATTTATGGTTGCTTCACTTGGCATTTACAAAGTGGTACCACCTCTTTTAATGTGGCAAGGTCCTTGATTTTCGAACCCAAGATTGAGAGGTTGGTTATTAATGTCTTTGGTTATTATTAATGAGCTGAAAATGGTAGTATTTCCCCCCCCCCCATTTTGAGTTCTTCGTTTAAGAATTACTTCTCTGAGACCCATTTTTTGCTACATCTATTTGCCTCCAATTTGAGGGATACGGAAATTAGGGTTTAAGTTTACTGTTGACATGGAATTTAGTCATGCCATTTGTGTGGGCAGTATAGAACGAGGCAAATACATTTTGGAAGTGTAGTCATCTTATAAGTTTTTATGATGTTCAGATGTTCAGAGTTAATCTGGGTCAAATTTCATGCTCATTAACACTGTGTTTGGTAGGAGGGAAAGAGGAATGAAAAATTACTTTCTTTCCATCCTTTCTTTGGTTTGGTAGTAGGGAAATAAGTGGAGGGAGAGAAAATGAGCTGATGCAACCCTTTTACTTTCCCTCCAAATCCAGTCCTTCCAAATCTGGGAGGAAATTCTCATCAAACTTAAATTAATAATTTTATTTACAGCTTTACCCCTAATATTTTTCTTTCCCTCTATTTTCCATCATTCATACCAAACACAATGAAGGAAAAATAACTCTCGTTCCTCTCCTTTTTTCTTTCCGCACATTTTTTCATTCATTCCATTTTTCTTCCTTCGTACCAAACTTAGTGGAAGTAATTCATATTAGGATCCTATGCTCAGTGGTTATACCTGATTGAAGATTGTGGGTAGCCATCAACTATGCAGCCAACTAAGCTATAACATGGACTAGCTATGTGTTATTTGCTGCTTTTCTGATTTATGTATTAAATAATTTGCTTATTATTGATGATATGGTTTCTTTTGATATGTAGAAAATGCATATTGTCCGATTGACATTTACTTTAGAAGTGAGAACTCATTATTTTTTATAGATATGGTATTCAATCATCAATGTTTGAAGAATTTCACCTTTAATAGCTCATGAAAGGATTATTCATTTTCCTCTAATGCTGCTTATGCTCTAATTTCATTCAATGATATCCTTCCTATGGTGGTGATAATGTAGTTTCCTTCAAAGTAATATCAATTTTGACTACTATTATAGATCGTACTGGTGGTCATATTATGAAATGGTATTTGACTACTATTGTAGATCGTACTGGTGGTCATATTATGAAATGGTATTCTTTTTTTTATAAATAGCTTGATACTTGTTGCATTGATTCTTGGATGTGTATCAATTCAGCTAGGTACTTTCACATTGGATCGGATAGGAAGAAATATCAGGCCAATTGTTTGTCCTCTTGCTTAGTATTTTTTTTTTTTTTTTTATGTCTTATTTTTCTCTAGAATTTGAGAAGCACCATATCAATGAGTGCAACTTTAAGAATGATTTGTCAAGCATTTTCTCTTGCAGGTCTGCCCATTTCTAGTTGAGTTGTAGTTGGTGTCATGGGTGTCTCTGGAAAATGGTTCAAAGCACTGGTTGGTATGAAGAAATCAGAAAAGTCACAATCTTCAGAGAAAGAAGAAAATGTCAGTATGAATATTGTTTCTTCTTCTTGTTGTTTTTTTTTTTTTTTTAACTTTTTGCCCTTTTGGAGGTTTAGATTTGGGTATGTGCATGCGTCATGTCATATGTGCCTCTTCAAAATGCTGAAGTGATGACCCATTGTCACAAAGTATCTTCATATCATGTGTACTTAAAGTAAGGTGTTCATGTGGTGGAATTTTTACTGGACTTAGGGCATAGTTAAGTCGTTGACTAACCTGGTATGAAGGGGAAAGATTGTTATGTGATAACTTACATTCAGTAGCTATGCTTGTTAGCCAAAACCAAGATATCTTTTCTACTCTCCTCATCCATACTAGTTGATAATGCTATTTTTAATATCCTTATCAGAATAACTGCACTGATGATGCTTGTTTTTATTTAACCAGATAGCTTGCCTGCTTGTACAAAGCAAATGTGAGTTGATAGCTGCTCACAGCTGGACTTTTTACTGTAAAGCACTGTAGTTCTATTGATAGAGATTAAAATGTGGGTTCTTTTTTACTTTGCTTGTATACTTTCAATATCAAAGATCCATTGCCAAAAAAAGTTCAGCAACAGTTGAGAAGAAATTACTCTGTCCATTGCATAATAAAACGTTCATTTTTTCAATTTCATGAAAATAGCAATTCTGCTTATATGTCCATGGTGGTGAAGTCCTCAGCACTTGTGTATTTTAGAATATCCTTTATGTTTTGTTTGATCTTAGTTTTATTTTATTACTTTTATTTTGGCCCATTAATAAATTATTAAGCTCAAATCGGATTGACTTCCAAAGTATAATACCATTTAAGCATGTTTTTAGTTCAATATCTTGGTCTTTGGTTGTGACAGAGGGCAGCTGCAAGCAAATTTCATCACCGAAGAGAGCATTCTGTTGAGTTTGACACAGATAAACTTCAAGAAGAGTTGGATGAGAATGCTGCTTCACCCACTGAAGATGCTAATACTCATGCAACTGCAGATGCTGCTGGCTCTTCCTCTGCTTCCCTTGAAGTGCTTGATGCTCTTAAGGAACGTACAAGGGAAGAATGGGCTGCCACAAGGATACAAACAGCTTTCCGAGGATTTCTGGTACTAATTCCTCTATTTTATTGTTTATCCATGTCAAACGGGAATTTAAAATACTCTTTCTGTCCTAGGTTGTTTGGGATGGTTTGACTCTTTTAAAATGGCAATAGTTATAGTTTCGATTTAACCTTCTTTTCTTTTTGAAATACTAGACCTTCCAGGAATAAGTTAAAAGAATGTCTTTGAAAGGTTGAAGGTATTTATTATTTTGTTTTGGAAAATGGATAACCCTGGACTCATCAAAAAGTAATAAGGGAGGAAAAAATGAGTTGGAGAGAGTGGCTTTATTGAGGATCTACAAATGGATGCATGTTAACAAAATTACATGTCTATTTTATGCATTTTGTAGATGTTTATGTTTGTCTGTGTGTGTTTTGTCTATGCATGTATGTAGAAGGCAGTAATCACCAATGTCTAACTTATTTCACACCTTATGTCTAATTTCTTCATGTTTTTTATCAAATCATAAACTGAAGATACAGTCTACCTTCCAGCTGCATAGAATACAGTTTATTTCATAACAAGAGATGCCCAGCTTGCAATGATTTGTCCTCCATCTAAATTAACTTTGTAATTCTTTGACTCATGGAAACGAAATATATTTTATTTAAACATCAGGCTAGAAGAGCACTGCGTGCATTAAAAGGATTGGTAAGACTGCAAGCCCTTGTCCGGGGTCATGCTGTAAGAAAACAAGCTGCAATAACTCTTCGCTGCATGCAAGCTTTGGTGAGAGTTCAGGCTCGTGTAAGAGCAAGGCGCATTCGACTGGCATTAGAAAGTCAAACTGCACAACAGAAACTTCAGCAACGACTTGAAAATGAGGCTCATGTTAAGGAAATAGAGGTGAGAAACATTAAATTCTTCAATTCATATAAATTGACACAAATATGCACGTGCATACACACACAACACATGAAATAGAGTTGAGTTCATGCATGAATCAGGCATGCTTGTTGTGTGTGTCTATTTGTGTATTCTGTACTCTTACATTTGGTTAGGTAGGTATAAATCTCCCTTTCTTTTAAGATTGAAATATTAGGATTGTATATGTCTTATCTCATACATACACTTAACTGGTTAGGTAGGTATAACTTTCCATTTATTTTAAGATTTTAGGATTGTTATGTGGCATCATATTCTTCCATTGTGTAAAGCTGATGAATTACTTTACTTACATGAGTCAAATCGCCTTTGGAATGTAATTGACTACAGACAATGATCTGAAACTATTAAAATATCTCAACAGTAATGATAAAATCTCAAAGCAGGGATGCTAGATTGGGTTACATACTCGAGACTTTATAGTGTGGCTGGTGATGATGCAACTGTCTATTGTACTGCCCTAAGTATGGTACATGGATTCAGATGTATGCACAACATTGGATAATCCTTGCTGGATAGTGTTAATTGTATGTTGATTATTTTTGGCTAAAGGGTATAAAAAGCCCCTAAACTATAATTAAAAAATTATCCAAGCCCTTATCTTTTAATTGTAACCAATCAACCCCTTTGATATTTATTTACATCCAATTAAGCCCTTACTTGGATGAAAAAGTTAACGTCATTAAATTTTTTTCCAACTAAGATAAAATTCCATGTAACATCAATAAAGTAGATGAAAGTTTGTCACATCGCGCAATTAATATATATGAAAATAAAATAAAATAAAATTTTCTTCCTTTTTTTCTTTTCCTTTTTCTTTATTTTCTCTCCCACTTTCACTCTAAGATCCCTCTATGGGTTTAATTGACTGTAGTTCTAGGATTGCTTGATTCAATTTTTTCACGTGACTAGATTTCATCCAATTAAGGGTTTAATTAAGGCAAAATAGAAGATTAAGGGCTTGATTGATTGCAATAAAATGTTAAGGACTTAAATGATTATTTAATTATAATTCAAGGGTATTTCTGGCCCCTTAGCCATAATTTATTGTTTACTGAATTGCATAATTTTTTGGTAACACTGATGTTCATATAAATTTGAATCTGTTTATCCATCCTTTTCTCATATAATTGAAGCATAGATTTTGGTAGGCTTGCTAAGTGCTACATATGACTTCTGAGTAAATTCAGGAAGGGTGGTGCGATAGTATAGGATCTGTTGAAGAAATTCAAGCCAAGTTACTAAAGAGGCAGGAGGCTGCAGCTAAACGTGAGAGAGCCATGGCATATGCTCTGGCTCATCAGGTAAGAAATGATAACACTATTGTAATTTATAAAGTGGCAAATTTATAGTCTAGCGAAGTTTATGTTATTTTATGGAATGAATGTTCTGCCCTCAAATCAGTGATTGGATTGAGTGTGAGCGCATGCCCACACACGTGCTTGTGTGTGTGTGTTTGTGAGAGAGAGAGAGAGAGAGTTTTCAATGCCGTAATGTATTTCAATTAATTTGAATTTTACTGTATCAGTTGAATTAGAAATGGTAAAAGGGATAGCTATAACCTACTCAAGCTTGCTTTTATGGAAGTTGGAGATTAGAGCTTTAGGATAAGTCCTGAAACCTTCTAATTAACAACTATGGATTATATTTCCTACTATTGAAGTGGCTTCCTTCGACTGTTTCAAAATTTGATGATCAAAACATCTCCTATCACCAATATATAGCTATGGTTTCTTTATTCCATGATAGCAGTCATTTTTCTCTTCAATTCTGTGGATTTTAGTGGTAAATCTGATTGTCTGTCGGTAATGGTTCAGTTAGCTCTTGGTAAATTTTGTTACCTGGTTAATTTCTCCTCTCTCAGAGCCCTTGTTATTAGCGTCAATCTCGTGTGATGGTTGATGTTGGATGCCAAAATCTTGCAACAAAACTGTTGAAGTCATACTAATTACCTGACTCTGTGGTTGTCTAGTTACTGTTGTCTTAGAATCATTTCAATGACTGGTCTCATTCTAGGTAGGTTTTATGTTTAAGAGTTAGCTTCTGTTTGTGCAGTGGCAAGCAGGATCAAAACAGCAGTCTGTGCCTGCTGGGTTTGAACCAGATAAAGGCAGCTGGGGTTGGAACTGGTTGGAGAGATGGATGGCTGTACGTCCATGGGAGAACCGTTTTCTTGACATTAATCTTCGAGATGGAGTACTGATATGTGAGGATAGTCCTGCAGAGGGACAGAATGGTGCCAATTCTCAGATAAAACCTGCTATCAAGAAAGCAGCTGCTTTGAGTCTTCATGCGAACCTATCAAGTCAAAAAACAGGTCCATCCCATTCCAATGGGAGTGATTCTCCACCTGGGAAGTCATCAATTGTGCCAGAAGCAGTCAATGTATTGTCTTCCAAGCCAAAATCCAAAACAAATCTTGAAGATTTGGGTGAAGCAGCTGACTCAAGACCCATTATTAGTTCAAGATCTCACAGCAATCCCAAAGAGAGGTCCATACAATCCAATAAACAGGCAAAGAAGCGATTGTCTCTACCTAACAGTGGTAAGTTCTCTCTCTGCTGGTCCAAAATTATACATGTATTTTCACCTTGGTGTTAACCCTTCTCCTGTACGTAAACTTTTCTGGTTTAAGCTGGTTGTTGTCACAAGAATTGCATGATGTAGCAACGTTGCTGTGACATATTATTTCCTGAAGCTCAATGATCATCTCTATTCTTTGGTCTTCTATGTATGCTGCTAATTTTAGGTTAACCAGGTTAGACAATGCACAAGGATAGGTTCCCTCTTGCATGTATTGTATGTTTTGCTAATTTTTGTTTCAATGGTCTGATTCGAGTAGGGGGAGGTACCGGGTCTCAAACAACCAAGCCTAGCAGAACTGCTGCAAAAGTGACCCCAGGCTCTCACAAGCCGATAAAGGATAGGTCCCAAGTTTAACGGACAAGGGGACTCAAATCCCACAAAAGCTGTGGCATAGGCTGTTGTTCTGTAAGGAAGCATTTCATTGAAGACAAACCCGTTGGGGCTACCACCCACTCAGGCCTTGTTGTTTTAGTATGTATATATCGAATTACGGAGATGTAATGACATTGTTTATTTCCCTGTCACAGAGTTGAGCAGTGGTTTTGCCGTGGTGGGAGTAGTAGTTGATCCCTGGCAGAGTTGAGGAGATTGATTTGGCTTGGCTTGTTACGGGAATAAGATTAGTAGATTTGATGTGTTGATGTTATCAGCTGTGATTAATGTTGCCTCGATCACCATTGTATTTATTTCCAAGTGTATGATTTCCAGAGCAGATGTCTATTGTATCTCCCCCCCTCTTTGTTCTGTTATTGAGTAAAAATTGTTTTCTGCATAATAATATTCATTCTTCCATTTAATTTGTATTAAAAGATAGATTTTATATTTGGTATAGTATTAATATATAGATTTTATATATTATAAATAAATTAAATAAAAATTTATTAATAAAATAAATTAAATAATAATATCTCATTAATAAATAAATTTTTTAATTAATATCATTTATTTTAAAAATTGTTACTTTTTTATTAATGAATTGTTATTATGTTTGAAATACTAACCTCTAAAAAAAATTAAATAGCGATGTTCTCCGGAAATGTTTTCAATCTTAGCTGTAGATTCGACCAAAGCAAAAAATCCCTCGCCTCCGTTACTTAAATGGCCGTTTGGTCCCTCTTCACTTGAAATCCCTTAAATACCCATAAAGGTCAGCAAAATGACACTTTCATCCTCCGCCCTTTTACCTCAAAATTTCCCCCGTCTTCACCTCTCCCAGTGTCTTCCCTCCTCCTCATCCCATCCACCACCCCTCTCTGTCACTTCCCCGCTTCACTCCAAAAACAAAAAAAAAAAATTTCTTGGGAGTTTTAAACCTTAACAAATTCAAAATCCAAACCCTAAAACACCCAAGCCCAAAATTCCCTCAAAAATAAACCAAAACATTCCTTTTTTTTTTTTTCTTCAAAAAATTTGAGGATTGCTTACATTATTTATTCCACCATAGCTTCTTCAAAGCTGCATCTTTTCAACATTTCTTCTTCTTCTTCTTCTTCTTCTTCTTCTTCTTCTTCCCACCTTTTCACAATTCCGCTCTCACTCCAAAGTTGTATAAGACACCCACCTTTCCCTCCCAATTCCATTCGTTTCCTCCCTTCTTCAATGTTCTCCACTCCTTTCATTCTCTCCTTTTCTCTCCTCCTTTCCCTCCCCATCCTTTTCTTTCTCCTAGCCCCAACTCTCCATCCCCAACCTCTCCCTTCCATCTCCCTCCCTGACGAACTCGACGACCTCCGTCTCTTCCACCGCGCCACCACCCCTTCCTCCGCTTCCTCCCACCTCTCCTCTTCCTCCTCACCCAAAATCGCTTTCCTTTTCTTGACCAACACCGACCTTCATTTCCTCCCTCTTTGGAACCGTTTCTTCCGAACCGCAAAAACTTCCCTATACAACATCTACGTCCACGCTGACCCCACCGTCAACATAACTCGCCCTAACGACACCGTTTTTCATGACAGTTTTATCGCAAACGCCAAACGCACTTTTCGGGCTTCCGCGACGCTAATCTCCGCCACTCGACGTCTCCTGGCCACCGCCATCCTAGATGATCCCGCCAATGCTTATTTCGCCGTCCTCTCCCAATACTGCATCCCTCTCCATTCCTTCAATTACATCTACCGCTCCCTCCTCACATCCAAGAACTTCGATCTCACCTCCAAATCGGACGCGGAATCGTCCGACTTGACTCAGTATGGTGTCCGAGTCAAGTACAAATCGTTCATCGAGATCATTTCTAAGGAACCCAGACTATGGAAACGGTACGTAGTGCGTGGACGTTTCATGATGATGCCGGAAGTGCCGTTCGAGAAGTTCCGAGTTGGTTCGCAGTTCTTTGTGTTGACTCGGAATCACGCGTTGTTGGTGGTAAAAGATCGGACGCTCTGGAGGAAATTTAAGTTACCGTGTTATCGAGCCGACGAGTGTTACCCAGAAGAGCATTATTTTCCGACTTTGTTATCAATGCAAGATCCAAATGCGGTGACTCACTATACTTTAACTCGGGTTAATTGGACCGGAACAGTGGCGGGTCACCCCTATATGTATAAGCCGAAAGAAGTGTCGGCTAAGTTGATTTATGAGTTGAGGAAGTCGAATTACTCGAGTTCTTACTTGTTTGCTAGGAAATTCTCGCCCGATTGTTTGAGACCCTTAATGGGTATTGCTGATTCGGTCATTTTTACAGACTGAGATTGTTCCTGGTAAGAAAAAAAATCCTTCCTTTTTGATGATTTAATTAGTTTTTTTTTTTTTGAGTTGACTAGGTGGTGGGTGATTTACTCAGCGAGTTGGGTTATGGAGATGGGTGGAGTGGTTGGGTTGGGTTGGGTATTAGTTTTAGCTAAATCTGGAAAGTTGGAATTTTTAGTTACTCTGAGTTAGTTGAAGAAGTCTTAGTCAATTTGAAATCTTATTTGAATGGTTTACTTTTCTGCAGATTTTGAATTTAGAAATTAGAATCTTTTAAGGTAGATTTTTCAACCAGACCGTTCTTTTAGGACCCGTTCGTACTTCTTAGTTCGTTCCTTTCATGGATTTGGTCTGGAGAGCCTTGTCAGAGTCCAACACGTTCAACACGTAAGTGAAAGTCCATTCGATCAAATGCAAGTGTTTGATTTAAATCACATTGGAAGGTAATGAACCATTGTTTTTGGGCTATATCTTGTATGCATTAAGTTTTGAGGACAGGATGGTCCCGTTGTTTGTTCTTTTATTTATTTTTCATGAGTTCAGCATTGCTATTCTGGTTCCTATTAGTTGTCAATTAAGGACTGAGAAGCTTATCTTGCATTTGTTTAACCATCCTTTGCCTTCGAAACGTAGTTCAAGCTAAAAGAAGAAAAATTCCCTACTTTTGAAATCAGTCAAATCCAAAAATATCTTACCTTAGAGTATGGTGAGGAACTGCTTTTAAACTTTGTAAAGAGTAAGGTGTAAGGTCAAAGAAGATGAACCTAATTCTCTAGCCATTGTAGTCCTATTCGCCATTTCATGCAAATTCTGTAATAAGACATTTTTTAATGTTTGCCATTGATGTACTTTTACTTGATAACCTAACTTTTAGCCGGATTAGTATTTTGAGCAAGACAATAATATTAAAGAATTGTTCTGTCCAAATTTTAAGTTAAATTTTTTATCAGTTCATACTGAAGGAGTAATTCATGCATGATTTTGATAGTTATTTTTTAGTGGAATTTTAGCTTTAGAACGGCAGTGAATTAGGATCTGTACAATATTAGGTCTTAGAATGACCGGAAAGATTCAAGATTGTAAGAAGCTTTTTAATGGTAGGTTGAGATTTAGATATCCACCATTTCAGTGAGATGAGTTCTTTTGGGATACACATTACAAGTAAGGAAACAAGCCTTTTCCTTCCCCTCATATCTCAGAGTTAATACTAATGCAGCCTTTGAAATATGGGCTTTTTTTGCAAAGATGAATTTGGGCATATTTATCAAGCAAAACTTGTACATTGCCTTGTTTTATACTTTGGTGGGAGAAGTGCTTGATATTTTTATTTGTGTGTGAGTCCCGGGGTTACTCATGTTGATGGTTCTCCAGGTCCTTGGGATGTGGATGTTTTAATTTAACTTTTGCCACTGTACAAGGATTTCAATCTGATAGTGAGTTTCTGCCACATCTTTAGGGAAGGAAATCGTGTTGTAATCTGTTACCAAGGAAGGCAAAGAAAAAACAAAATAAAAGAAAAAGGGGAGAGGAGGGCTGGGAGAGGTCTATTTGTTGCATGATTTTGTTTTTTCTTTGGATTTGCAGGGTCTATTGGTATTAGATTCCTAGTTTTATGGTTTCTTTCTCATGTTGTGTCCAAAAAAAAAAACCAACTTTAAAGTACAATATTTCTGTCTAGAAATACAAGCACTCTTATACAGATTCTGTCCTTTCTAGCATGGGCTGACTGGTGCTCTATTTTCACAGGTGAAAAGAGTTTTTTTGAGGAACTGGCTTGGAGCAGAATTTGCAGGGGAATATGGCTTTGAAGAGGCGTAAAGTTGCCACAACCCCAAAAGCTTCCAACTTTAAAATCTTTAGAAACAGGGCGGGATAAAAAATATGATACTAAAAAAAGCAGCAAGAGGCCGGTGCTTTTGGTAAAGGTGTAATTTGATGGTGTAACAGTTGCCAATAGCAGCACTAAATTCTTGTCATTTTGTTGTGCGATTTGTACATATTTTGTATGAAATACAATCAAAATTCCATCTGTGTGTGCCTTTTTGACGATGCCATGAAAAAAGTGGTAAAAAGATACAGCAATTTAGGGGAAAGAAGAAAGTGATGGGATTGGTTTGAAGAGATGAAAGAAGCAACCCTTTCTTTTTTTGCTCATCTTTATGTCATTTTTTTACTGCCAATTTTTTTCCTCCTTTATTCTTATGCTCTTATTAAAAGATAACACCATCAACGACAACATAATTTTCTGAAATATTTTTAAAAAAGTTTGAACTCCGACAGTGGAGAAATATCGGAAGGGACCAAGTTGTCAGCTTGTCTCACGTTTAATTTTTTGGCTGAATTATGGAAGAAATTTCATGACTACGAGCTGGTTTGCCGACAATCGATAGAGTACGTTATCAGATTCTTGCATCACATGAAAAAGTTAAACCTGTTGCTGTTGCCTGACAACAGCCAGGCTTTTGATTTGCATGCTCAATTAAATGTACCTGCTTTCCTGCCACCCTCATACTGTAACATTTGATATTTCATTCACAATACTGCATTCTTGTAAGTACTTTTCTACCCTTGTTATTGGCATGTAGTTTCCCATCAATATGGAACTATTTAAACTTATATAATTGCATACGTAATATGTACATAATATATTGAATTGTTAAATTTATGTCACAGATGCACCATACATATATTATTATAAAGGTTTTAAATGATCAATTGAGATTGGGTCGATTTGTTAGAAACAAAACTATATGAGCATCACTTCTTAAATGTAAAACTTAGATTTAGCTTAAGTAATCATGGGTCATAAGTAGGCAATAGTTAATTGTCCGTGTGAACTATGGATCTATAATTATTTGATTGATTTTTAGATCTCAAAACATGGAAGGTTTGTATCATTGACACTGGTAGGTGTCTCAGATCTTTGGCTTTGATTGCTTATGATTACTTTTAATTACCCGATATTTCACTATAGATTCATTTGATGGCATGGTAAAAAAGATTTTTATTTGATGTTATTTTATGATTAAATTTTTAAAAATTTAATCATAAAACATAATTATGATGCAACAAGAGTCCCCCCTGTCATAATGTCAAATGAATCCAAACTGTGATTATAAATTAAATTGGGATGGTTGTAACTGACCACTCTTTCCACATCTCATTTGAAAAAAAAAATGATTGGATCTTTTCGATTGAAAATCACCCAAAATTTGCCACTATTATAAAAAAATGTCTATACCCAAGTACAAAAAGGTTGGAAAAAAAGGCTTTTTCTTTCTCTAACAGTCAGTTTATTTTTAGGAAGCAAAGGTTTAGTCTTTAGACATTATTTTTGGTCTAAACCACCTATGTTCACATTCTCTATCTGTTTTGTCCTTCAGGTGCTTAATTTCTGTAGCTTGAGCATGCTGTTGACTATAGAAGCTACATTTAACTGTGTATGATTGCTTTTATTCTTAGCATTCCATATATTAATAAAGTTGGCACTTGGCATATAACTTCATTCAGGTCAGCCAATCTCTGATGGTAAAGCGGTGATCGATGTCTCTTTTCTGGGATTGCATGTCCATACAGAAACTCGAGATCTCGGTGAGGAAGTATCCTGCCCTGTCGCTGCAGGCAACTTTGTGCTTTCACACTCCCAAACTTTACCTGTCTTCACTCCACCAGTAAGTCTTCACTCCACCAGTAAGTCTTGTCTCCCGGAATATTAATGATTTTCTGTGATAATTCCTGGATTTACTAGTACTATAAGTATCTGCTTAAGGGATGAAAAAAGCATGTTTAGCTGACAGCGCTGCATACTTACAGGGCTCTTGCACTCTTCAGATGGCATTACATGATGAAAACAATTTGGAATTGACATGCATCCGTATAAAATTCATTATTGGAATTGCTTCTTTGGCGTCCGATAGTTGAGTTTGGACTTTGGAGTAGTATACTGAGTACTTGTATCAGACCCATGGTCTCTGTGTTCCAGTTGCCTTCTTACAGGATTTAGGAGAATTGTTTTATTTCAGAGAGATTAGCTTTCCTGTTCTGTAAGCATTTTGTATGCAACCTGATAGCTTAATTAGAACAGTTGAGTTATCAGAATAAGAATGTAACTATTGCATGCCTCCATGAATGGTTTTTGATTTCTGATGGCATGCATGCCTTACGTTTGTTTTGCATTTATAATTTGCTTCCTGTTTGCAACCACAGCACCTTCAGAATTGAAAATATCCACTATTCTGAAGATCAGCTGTTGATTCAGAAGCATGTCTCAAACTCTTAAATATTAATCACAATGATCCAACTGACTCATTGACCAATCTGTCTGCAGTTGATCTTGTTGCATGAATGGTGATATTAAAGAGAGTTAGAACAAGACTGTGCCATCTGCCTAACACAATTTAATTACACCATAGATAACACTAAACTTTTTATTAAGAAAAACACAATTTAATTACGTAGTCTCTAATTACACCATAGATAAAACTAAGCTTTTTATTAAGAAAAACAAATCGACCAGCATTTAAAATACAATAATATAACCCTCCCAGCGTAGCTGAGGCATTCACAAAATATCCAAACACATCAAACTAACATAAATCATAAACCTATACAATGAATTCCCAAGGAAATTTCTAATTTCTAATTTTATGTCATGTCCATCGTCAAACCCAATTCAGTTAAACTCATTCATTAACGAAGCCAAATAGAATCATAAATCATAAACCTAATGATTTCTGACATTTCAGATTTCTACTAAGTATTAGAATACAAATACTACACATTAAGATTGAAATTAAAGTATAGCATAAATAGAATCATCTCTGTTCAATTCCATGCAGGTCCCTCGTCAAACCCAATTCAGCTAAGCTGATTCATTAGCAAAGCCAAATCTATATCATTCCATTCACATGCCTTCGGAGATTTGGAACTGATCGTGGGCAGTTCGTTTGGATCCTGATCTTCTTGATCATTAACTTCCCCGAAAATCAATTGATTATGTGTTAGAGTACTTCCAATCCATTCAGCATTGCCTTGGTTTAGCTTACTCTGATCGTCAACACAAATTTTCTTCAAAGTTGGAACCGACATCTCTTCATCATTAACCAGCTCTAAAGCTTTCCGCTTCTGGTTGACGGCTTCTGCTTCTGCTGCGGAGTTATCTTGACCATGATCTGAACCAACAGCCACGGCCACAGCATCTTTATTTTTGATTTCGCAAATAACATAATCGCTCAAACCCTGGTCGCTTAAGGAAAACTCATGCATAATCCAATTGCCATTGATGCCTCGGCTTGACTGATCTTTCTTGCATATAAAAGTGAAATATTTTTCAAACCCTAAAAGCTGACCATGTTCATCCTTAACTTCTTTGGTGCTTCGAGCAAGCCAAGTTCCAGAACCAGCAATCCTATCAATTCTTGATTTACTCTTCTTCTTCAACTTGGTGAAAACCCAAAAAGAAGCATTGTGATCTTTGTCAAAAATATTCCAGGGCTCCCTATTACTACCATAAATCTCACGTTCAATCAAAGTATCAGAAGGCAAAATCAAAGGCTCTCCACTAATGGCTCGTGGAAGGTAAAAGCACAAAATCTCTTTTTTGGTGGGACGAAAGCGGAAGCCAGGGGCCAATGGGAACGGAAGAGGAGAAACGATCAACATGTTATGGATGCTCTGAGTCTAACTAGTTCAGGTACCCATTACGTTTCCAAACGCCATTATATATATAGTTTTTCATTGTATAATAAAATTCCTATATTTTGCCCCCTTCACAAAAATTTATGACATACCACCCATATACAAATCCGTGTTACAGATGTCTAAATTTGGTAATTTGGTAATCCTTTTACTGGTATAAATCTAACTCCTATCCGAAGTCCATATTTTGCTGCCAAATACAAATCGTTGTAGGAGATGTTCACTTATTTTCTCAGCGGACTTCTCTTTGCCCAGCTATAATATCCGAATGCTATACTGACTAGACAAAGACATGGCTTTTTGTTCATGAGATGAGACTTGCTTTAATATTTGCTTTTCAAAATCTAACTATTATAATATTTTCGTTTACAGTCTCATAAAAAATTAAAATTATTGTGAATTTAAAAAATAACAAATTAATTCGTTCATATGAAACCTATAAGCCTTCTAAATATGCTTATTTTAAAGTTATAATAACGAATCGGTTTGACATATATTCAAATAATTTATTTTTTAATCAAACATGAAAAATTTGGGAAACCTAATTTTCAATCACTGGTTGATAAATTTACTTTGAGACGAATAGGACTTGAAAACAAATGAGTAAATTATTTGGTGAAAGTTTTTATAAAGGTGTAACGAAATTTATTATTTTTATAATTTATTTGTTTAATTAATTATCCATTAAATATTATTCATGATTATTTATCAAATTTATAAACAAACCTAAACAAAAAAATAATTGAATATGTTTACTAATAATATTAATTAAAAAGCATTTATATTTGATGTATTAATAATATATATATTTTATAAACTGTCGATCAATTAGATGTTATTATTTTATTAATAAAAAATTTTAAAAATTTAGAAGCCCTTAAGGATAAATATCTATAAATTTTAATTGTTTAGTTTGAAAAAAGTAATTTATTTTTCTACTTTCTACAAAAACTTAATCATAACTTAGAATTTTTAAATTAATTTGACTCAAAACTTCGATAAACTCTTTAAACTTAAGAGTTCAAATTTTGTAAAAGTAGATATTACTATTAAATAAAAATAATATTTAGTCATAATTACAATTAAAAATATTAGACAAATCAATAGCCCAAAAAATCGAAAGAATATTTAGATAATAAATTTATACAAATGCTTCCTAATTAAGATCATATGTAAAAATAATATTGTCATAAATCGATAAAATAATATTTTCACTTATTCATTAAAAGAAACGTATTTTGAGGCTAGAATTATCTTTCCTTAATACTTAATAAAATATATGAAAGGGTTTAAACAACCATAGATTATCTTGAAAATCATTATAAACTTGACTTTGATTTAAACAATTTAACCCAAAAATAAACCCTAACTATCATGGTGATCGATATCAACCACAACTAACTACGACTTTGACCACCACATTCAGCCGTCAACAACCTTTGATGGAGGACCACCACATTCGACCTTCAACAATCATTAATGGAGGAGCAAAAGCTCTAAACCTTTGTTGTACCCTACCCAAATAGAAAGCATCAAAGATTTTTTGATCCCCAAATTCAAATTTTCAAAACTAGCCAACAACACAAAAAATCTCTTCAATCTTGATCACAAACTTGCCATCTCTTCATCTCTTTCCCTCTCAA